GGGAAGACATGGGAGTGAAGGTCGACGGCTGGCAACTACACCACCTTCGTTTTGCTGACGACATCGTTCTTATAACGCCGAACATCGAGCAAGCGGAGCGAATGCTGGCTGATTTCGACTGCGCCTGTGGTAAGGTTGGTCTGCAGCTGAACCTAACGAAGACGATGTTTATGAGAAACGGATTGGTTCCTGATGCCCCATTCACGCTCAACGGAACGAACATCACCGAATGCTCCAGCTACGTGTACAATATGATGAACGATCTAGCTCCAGAGCTGAGCAGGAGGAAACGAGGGAGTAGTGAAGAAGACGAAGAACATCCGGCTCCGTGCCCACCTCTTCGATTCCGCTCCTTCCTGCCCTAACCTACGCCTCAGAGACTTGGACTCTGCGCAGGCAGGACGAGCATGCGGTCAGCGTTATCCAACGCGCTGTCGAGAGGAGTAACCCTATACACGCAAGTGCAGAGGGGAATCCGGAGTTCCGAACTACGCCAACGATCGAAGATCAGGGACGCTGCCGTTTTCGCCAAGGAATCGAAGATAAGGTGGGCCGGACACGTCATGCGATTTTGCGATGACCGTTGGACCAGAGCGGTTACCGACTGGATCCCTCGGGACGTCAAACGAACACCTGGACGACCGCCGGCCCGATGGTCAGACTTCTTCACGAAAGCTCTGAACGAAAGGAATGAAGGACTTCGTGTCCCTCGAGCGAGGAGGTCCACTGGACCACTCTAGCACGCGACAGGGACGAATGGAGACGTTGCTGGCGCCCGCTCGAGCAATTCGATGATCAACGGGACGACAGGTGATACAGGTGATACAGGTATCGTATTGCCAGGTAGATCTCGTTTCTTCATCGTTGCTGTCACCGCCTGACTATCCGAATCAGGATCTCGAGCTGAAACAAGCGCGTCTCCTTTATCGGGCATGTGAAGATCTTCCGCATCTTCAGAAGGTCTTCAGAGGTAGTTCGTCAAAGTTTTCATTCAGGATATCCGTATCGTCGAATGAGGAGTTCATATATGATGAGATGACAACTGATTGACTCTTGAGTGCCGTCTAACTCCCAGCAAAAAGTCTGGACGCTGGGCTTGTTTAGCTCCAACTTTTGCTCTCCTTGCGTTCTTTATCTAAACCATGTCTTCTTTATTTGAAGCAATCCTACTTCTCCAACATAATAGCATGCTCATTCAACATCATTTCGATAAACCAGCACCGCTAATGTTTGTCGTTCTGTAGCAGGATATGTTGTATTGGCCACTTTCCTTCACTAGTTGTCACCGCCGGAACAGGTCCAGCGTATAAGAGTAGCTAGGTAGCTTCATTATTAATATCTGTTGCTGAGTGTCATGAATATCAGAGACATTGTGAAACTGAAGAAATCTCAAGAAAAACTCAGTAACACTTTTGCTTTAGCTTTTGCAAGTATTTACTAGTCCTTATTAGAGATTTGCTCTTACATTAATTGTTTTTACATAACACTTCCTGAACTATTTGCTGCGAACATCAAAATTACAAAATGGAGTCTGTCATGGGACAATGTCAGTCAGCGGTGACCGGCAGTTGCTTCCCAAAAGGAGCACCGTGCGCATGCGAAGAGAAAATGCTCTCGTCGCCACCGTGATGTGAGACAGTGGGCATAAGACAAGACTGAGCGCTCATTCAAACCGCAAAGATTGGATGGAATTGTGGCTTACCGACTACTGCGGAATTGGCTGTCTGGAAGAACTAACTAGCTCTCCTCATAATCATAAGACATGCTGTTTTTGTGAGAAAGTCAAAGGCAAGAAAATTCTCTGAATACAGAACATCAGATCAACATCGGAACATCGACTAGTTTAA